CATGGACTTAGGATGATTCGTGTGCAGATTCCATGTACTTTGCCGTGCAGGTATGAGGTTAAATGCCAGGTTAAAACCCCTAAACCCTAAACCCTAAACCCTAAAACCCTAAACCCTAAACCCTTTGGGCAGCAGGCGTCAGCCGGAGCCGGCTTCCCACCATGTCGGCGGCATGTGTATCATGCAGCCGACCCAGCTTCCTCAGATCGAAGGCTCCGTGATAGCGATCTTTGATCAACTTTCCGACAGAAAGTACTCAATTCAGAACATCCTTACAGCAAACACCGTTGTCCCTTATTCAGGGCTTCTTTATCATCTTATGAAGATGCTACTATGCAGGGTCGATGTTTGGTTCCCATGATTTCAGGAACGCCGGCGTGGCTCCTGGAAATCTGCAAGGCTCCTGTAAATGTGACCACTCTATGTATCTCCACGAACAGAATATCAGCAAGTCCATGCGAAGGCATTCAGCAACCACAAGCACCTTGTTGAATAATCGTGTCACTGTCACACAGCTTCGCATCCGAGGTGCAGGGCAAGCACCTTCCTGACAGGAGAAAGAGCTTGGGGCATGAGAAACAGGCGGAGCTCAGGCTTTTCGATTTATATCACACTCATATCAAAGTATATAATTCGATATTAATATTTCTATTCCATCCATCATGTATTTCACTAGTCCGTCACTCTTTAAAGTGCTTGGGCAAGGGCTTTCCATGCTACGGCCATCTGCTTTTGACAAAGCAAAAATCACAACTTATCTGGCTCCGAATCAGGCTTGATAGGGGGTTCTAGTCGGTAGCGGGAAGTCACGTCGCTCGACAAATTCAAGCTAAGACCCTGCGCGCTGAGGAAACCATTCGATTGGGGGTTTAAGGGTTTGGGATGGTTTAGGATTTGGGGATTTCGGGGGCCGGGAAAGTTCTGAAACACAAAGCACCGAAATTGAGCATCCATCCAACAACTCCCAAACATATGGCCCAGATTCCATGAAGCTCCAAGCCCAATCCCTTTAAGGAGGGTTTACAGCTTCTTTCGCTTGCCTGTCCTACGTTTCAATCACGGGCTGGACGGGGAAGTGCTCAATTCGAGTTCTCCCACTGCCAACCCCACATAAAACTTCCATGCCGACCGAGCCAGCTGAGCCTAGAAGTGCCGGGGTCCCGAAACTGAAAGATCCTAAACCCACAACCCCTCCAACTTAGCAACCCTACCGACTTTCTTCCTCAAACATACGTGCAAGTTTAGTCCATACTAGGGCTTATACAACTTAATCGACCCAAGGAAAGTGAAGCCAGCCTTTCTAAGTCCAACCCGACACGAAACGTATCGTATACCCCAAAAGGACCCCAAACCCTGATCCCAAGTCAAAAAACCGGACCAAAACATGCTGAACCCGAAGAGACCTGAAAACCCCTAAGCCCTAAACCCTAAACCCTAAACCGGCAAAACTTTGAACCCCAAGATTTAAGTCCAAGATGTTGATACAATGTGGCAAGACTCAGCAGAGCTGAGGACCAAGCCGAAATTGCGAAACCCTATAAATCCTGATTCGGTGTAATAAACCCTAAACCCTAAACCCTTACTGGGTTTAGGGTTCCTGGCCCTAAACCCTGAACCCCGAAACCTTATATGGTTTAGGGTTCCTGGCCTACTTTTTTGTAGGGTCCCTTTGAATTCCATAGTAGGGTTATAATAAGAACCTACAAAACAAGGTAGGGTTTGGCATTTTAAGATAGACCTGTAGACCCTGCAACTGCTTCCATGGCTCGCTTTGCCCGAGCCCTCGGGGCTCAGTGCGACGTAGCTCACACGGAGTTGAACGGATCCTAGGCAGTTTAGGGTTTAGGGCTTAGGGCTTAGGACAGCTGGGATTTTGCGGGAATTTGGGAGTTTAGGGTTTCTGCCTCATACTACATCTCTTGCAGCAGACCGATCAGCCTCTACATACGGCTCACGCAGGTAGTTCGCACCGTGGGCTCCTAATGATTAACGAAACCTGACTATGCCGTGAGACCTATCATGATCTTTGAACTGGTGCTGCGCTCCTTCCGTCTTCGCGCCGTAGGCATCAGCGACGGTGGCGTCTAAAGTCAGCCACCTTCGCGCCACCAGCTTCGGTTGCAGGGTTTAGGGCTGTAGGGGTTCAGGGCTTCTGGGCTTCATGGTTAACAGGGTTTCGGCTTCAAAGGAATTAATAGGCGGTTAGGATTTCGAATTTCGGGCTTCGGGTCCAGGGCTTTGAAGGCTTTGTCTTGTGAGCTTCACGACCTATCTCGGTTGCACAAACAGGCCCACCACTTACAAGGCTGTCGTTCATACATTGATTCCTCCTGTACTATCGATCAAATGCGGGGGCCTTAATAATTAGAATAGGGTTTTGGGGTATATTCTATAATAATTATGACAAGGAGCCCCCAAAATAGTATAGGTAAGTATTTAGGCCCCTGCGGTAAACCCTTACCCCTTAAACCCCAAAGCCCTAAACCCTAAACCCTAAACCCCAAACCCCCAAGGCCCCTATGTTACGCCCTCATAGAACCCTTATAATAACCCTTATAGTAACCCTTTAAAGGAACCCTATTCCAATTATTTAGGCCCCTATGTTACACCCTTATAATAACTCCTCTCGTAACCCTTTAAAGGAACCCTATTCCAATTATTTAGGCCCCTATGTTACACCCTTATAGAACCCTTATACTAGCCCTTATGGTAACCCTTTAAAGGAACCCTATACTAGCCCTTATACTAGCCCTTATGGTAACCCTTTAAAGGAACCCTATACTAGCCCTTATAGTAACCCTTTAAAGGAACCCTATTTAGGCCCCTATGTTACCTCAAAAGGAAGCCTTAGAAGGCCTGGGCGTGGTGCAGCGGGCCACGAGCTCCGCAGCGGTGTAGGACTCCTCGAGATTCGGGGTGCGCATGGAGGGGGATTGGAATAGATAACCCGGAGGGTACCCAAATAGTAAGGTTTTAGGTCCCAAAATCCATACTCTGAATGGTTTTTGGACCTTGAAACCCTATTCTTTGTGTACTTAGACCCTTAGGGTACGGTTCCTCTTGGTGTTTGTTCAGTGCGAACAGTTCTATGCGGAGCACGGCTCACCGTGTCTTCGCAAATCCCGACCTCAAACCCTACCCTCGAGGTCGGTATCGGCCCTTGGTTGCAATGGACTTTGTGGACTTTGGTGCGCACGATGATCGGAGCACAGGTTCTGTAGCCCTTTGGCGCAAGCCTTGGCTCAAGGCCGCGTCTTGCTCAAGTTGGCTGAGCCATTTGCGGAAGCGCGAGAGGAGGTCTCCTCCACAAGCTTGTTACTCGGTCAAGCGGCGTGTGCTTTGCCTTGTCCCAAGACCACCCTTGCCAGCGGTTCGTCAGTGCGTTCGCACAGTCCGCTCGATTGCCTGCGCCATGAACCGTGGCCGGCTTCTCCACGTTGAGATCGGCAAGACAAGAGAAGCATCGTCCACGAATGTCGCCTTCCTGGGCCACTCGCCTCAGATTGTCGGAACTGCCAAGCCAGGCTAGATAACCCTAGCATCCATCTACGTGTTCTTGCAGACTTCTTGTCTGTTAGCAGACTATCAGCCTAAACCCTAAACCCAAAACCCTAAACCCTAAACCCTAACATTGAGAAGTGAGGCCTTCGAAACCTGAGTCTCGAATGTTGAACCTGGCTTCGAGCCTCAAAAACCACAGGAAACCCAGAGACTCCAATATCCCTTAATTTGGGAATATACCTTAAATTATAATAGGAACCCTTATAAGATTTAAGGTATAATCCTTAACTAAGGGATATTGGAGTCTCTGGGAAACCCTTCTCTACACATGAAGCCACTTCCCCCCTAAAACAACGGTGACAGGATTCCAATCCAAGACCACCATCAAAACCCACGCTTCACCTCATACTTCATGGCCCTCTTGCAACAAAGCAACACCCGAATCTCGAATCATGCATCCCGAAAGCTCTGCAACCCACAGATCTGAACACCAAGCTACGCACACTGCACAGCCACGAAGCCGTAAACTTTGTGCACCTCTAAACTTGAAGGATAGATCTTTCAACCCCAAACCCTGAACCCCTAAACCCCTAAACCCCAGACCCTTGAACCCTGCAAAATCCTGAACCCTGAGGCCCTACACCCTAAACCCGCAAAATACCAGACTGGGGAGGGTCACAACTATACTTACCCTACTATACCTACCCATGAACCTCCAAGTAGACCCTAAATCCTAAATCCCCACCTGAAAGCCAAAGGGATCCTAATTTAGCGAACTAATGTAGGGGCCTTAATAATTAGAATAGGGTTTCGGGGCCCATTCTACCATAATTATCATAAGGAACCCCCCAAAATAGTATAGGTAATTTATCATCTAGGCCCCTATACGACCCATGATAACCCTAAACCCTAAACCCTAAACCCTAAACCCTAAACCCCCTGCAAGCTCCCAAAGTGTTGCAAGCCCGGTTCAGCCGACTCTCCTTCAAACCGGCGAGCTGGACATCCTGGAGATGCGGCGCTTAGGGGCGCTTAGGTGGGTTGGCTGAGGGTTTAGGGTTTAGGGTTTAGGGTTTGGGGTTTGGGGTCTAGGGTTTAGGGTTTAAGGTTGAGGGTTTAGGGTTTAGGGGTCTTGTCGTATTCCTGTCGCTTTTTCTTTGGTGGGGATTAGGGGTTTAGGGCTTAGGGGTCATCTTCTTAGATCGCTAGCTAGGTAGGCAGATAGACAGACAGGTTCAGGATTCATAGAGCTTGCGGCTTCGGCTGTTGGGTATAAGGCTTAGGATATACGAGTACAGGGCCAACTATGGATGATTTGAACAGGGGGCTATTGGATATGCTGTACTGATTACCCTAAACCCTAAACCCTAAACCCTGTTTTAGAACAAGGTGCTTGAAGGAATCAGAAGGCAAGTCTCAAACAAACGGCGGACCCCAAGGAGTAGGAGTCTCATTGCGATAGTCGCAGGGTGTTGAGGTATGGGAGTTTCAGAAAATTGGGGTACCTTATTTTGGGGTCCTTGTAATAGGGATCCTAGTATTTAGGGTACTATATTAGGGTCCCTATTCTCGGAAACCCCCGTATCTCTATTTGTGACGAAGTCTAGTTCCAAATTTCATGAGGGAGGCGGATGCTTTTGATGTCGAAACCCCCGCCCTAAGCGCGAAATCTCCATGTTGAGCTTTCGGTAGTGGTTTCGGACTCAGCACGGCAAACAAAGGGAGGGATTCTCAGAACTCGAGCTCCTTCTGCAATCTTGAAGCCCCAAAAGTGCTGTGCCGCGATGTGCTTTTGATGGATCCCAGGTCCTGTTTCAGAACGTTTGCGTCGAAGACTGCAAGCGTCACATTCTGCCGCTCCTGAGTAAGGCAGGTAGCGCAGAGGAGAGTCGAAAATTTCATCTCCCTGGTTCTCAGTAGGGAATGGACCCCTGTCAGAGTCCCTAAAGGTCTCCCTGTAGTAGTCCCAATAACACACTCCTTACTAAGAACTGTCACTTCGTGAATCAGGATACGCACTGGAGACATCCAAAATCCGTAATTAGACTATGACTTGTCATGTACTTCCAGTACGTGATGATATTCTAAGACACTCGAGTAGCCCAATGAGAAGCCCATAAGCCGACAACAGCGGGAACGACACTGCTGAGGCTGCTTCGGAACCCCATGCGCTCTCTGGAAACATGTTTCGGTGAACATAAGCTTCTTCGGGTCTACAGGGTCCGTAAGTGTTTTGGTTTGTGGCAAGCAAAACAGTATCCGGTGAACGCTATACTGTCCAGTAAGCCCCGCAGGCTATAATACCAGCTGTAGACTATCATACGATAATACGAGAACGTACTGAACATTACAATACCATGGTATACCATGATACTCTGATGATACCAAAAGACGATCATACGACAATACTAAAACACGACGATGCCGTAATACTAGGTTACTAGAACACGAAACTGTTCCAAGGCGCATGGTAGATCAGAAACTCCATGGGGGATTCATCCTCCCAGCTTGGCTCCAGAGTCCTGCGGACGCGTAGCACACATCCACCCACATGAAACCCTAAGGCTCCAGCTACCTAAAAAAGTGGGTTATTGGGTTACCTGTTATGTACATGTTATATGGTTAGAGGCCTACTATTTAGATAACTGGAGCCCTCGCAAGATCCGAACTCTAATTCATAGGGACCTCATTAGAGTAGGACTCTTGTGTATACTGTAGTAGCACTATGTATGCACGATTTACGAATTCCACCGAAACGAATGTTGCACGATGTTGAGCCAACACACTAAAGCTCCAACACATAGAAACAGGTCAGCCTGTGGCGCGTTCCCGTTCTCTTTGTGCAGCCGCCCACGGTGACGGTACAGTACCTTGGTTTCGGGTTCAGGGTGTAGGTCTTAGACAAGCCGGGACAGTCTCTACAACCAGAAAAGCTGGCCCATGCAATGTGTGCTGACAGTCAAGCATCGCGACCAGGGTATGTCGCAGTCATGTAAGCAACAGCTACATTACAAACCAGGAGATGCCCTTCCACGGGATTTGGCCTGGGTGTGCCTAAGTGGTCGGATGATGCTGATAATGATTTGCCTCATAAGATATGATCCATCCCTACAACAGCAAGATTCGCAGAAGCCCAGACCGCAACGTTTGAACCTAACTTGAGTTGCTAGTGCTGGGACGATGGCCAGCAAAATGAGCAAGTAGCAACTGCAGAAGTACAACCACTAGATTATTCTTGTGAGTCGTGCATTCATTGCCACTGGCGGCGGGTCTGGAACCCGGCGAGTGAGTTTCGGGCTTTTTTTGGTTACCACTGTATCTAAATCCTGCTACAAGCTTACAACATTTTATGAACGTAGAATGTGTGCAACGCTACCCTGCTACAGGCTTGCAATCTGTTAGGAGTACAGGGGAGTGTACACGTGCAAGAAACCAGGTCCAGATCAAACCCGACAAACTCGTAGAGTATGACCGTTGCGAGCACGCACACACACACACAGAGACACACGCGCACAGCCTTGAATTCAGACACCACGCAAGACTCTGCAAGCCTTCATCAACGTGAGCAAACTACAATCTTGAGTCGACCATCGATTCCCCCAAGACCTGTAACCCTAGCCCCCCAACCGTCCTACACCCTAATACCCTAAACCTATAAACTCCTCAAGCCCAAACCCTAAACCCCTAAACTCTAAACTCTTATAAACCCTAGACCGAAGCTCTGCCTAGTGCATTCCATGGGGCGGGTCACTCGTCCGAGAGCTTAGGAAGTTCAAGTCCACCTAGTCTCGGAGCTTCGTGAGCTCTGGGGGGCTCTGACAGTAATGATCGGAGATATAGCAATAACGGAAACAGCAATGATAGCAATAATCGCATTAACAATAAGAACAAGAAGAATAACAACAATAGTAAGTAGTAAGACCAATAATAGAAACTACAATAATAGTCGCGATTACGGTAACAAGCACGGCCTGCCATTCGCCAAACTTCTCGATCACACGGAAGTTCCCTCAAGCTTTCTGAAGGGATAGAATATGACTGACAAAGCAAATCCTCCAAGCCACGGTCACGCCCCCGAAAACCCATACAGGTAATTACTGTAGTCAAGCCACGCCAACCAGGCCCTGCGCACGTAAGGCCTCCGGTTCTTCCATTTAGAAAGAGGCTGCTTTGACTATCATCATAAGCAAGAGCTGAAGCGTTTGCGCCAAGAGATCCAAACGACGTGCAGGGGTTAGCGAGAATTGTGCATCATGATGCACTACACAGTCTTCATGACCAGTTTAAGGGCTTGGGCTCGGCTGTTAAGAGCTTAGGACCATGTTAGGGATAGGATGCTCCTACCTCTTCTGACAACCGTGAGCCTCTGAGTCAGCGGACGATGCTTCAAGCTGCGACTCAACAAGAAGCTAAACAGGAAAGTTACGGCTTCAACATGACAAGACAGCGCCTACGTGAGTGTGTGTGTGTGTGTGCATGCGTAAAGATAGTGTAGGCGTGTCTGTGTAAGTGTGTGTGTTTGTGTGTATGTGTCTGTGGTGCTGTGAAGCGTGCCTCAAATATGTAGTCATGAAAGGGTAGGTATGCAGGCAGAAAGACAGATGCAGAGAGAGAGAGAGAGACAGCGAGCGATAGGGAGCGAGAGAGAGAGCGAGAGGGAGCGAGACAGAGAGAGAGAGAGAGAGACACATGTCAACGTGCTCATGCCCGGTCTGTCAAAGATCGCATAATAACAGTGCGTCATGTCATCCCCAGCCGCCCTAGCCCTAGCCACAGCTGTTCCCGAAGAAGAGCAACTCGTGACCTGAACTCGCAGAATGCCCAGCGGGGGTGGACAGCGGAAGTCCGGCATGTCATCGATCTTCGTGTTCGCGAAGCCTTGGAAGCCTACTCAACGTCCCTTGGATCGAAAACTTCCAAAGTATCGTCATTCTCATTATGGAAAACTTTTGTTCTGGTTACAACTCATGATTTTGATTAGTAACCCTAAACCAGGATTAGAATTACTTAATGAAACCCAAATTTCCGGGGCTGCTGCCCATGTGGAGGCAGGACTTAGGCTTGGGGATCGAAGCAGAAGCAAATTAGCTCTGAGGCTCGGGCCAAGTGCGGAATACCCGTTTGTTTTGTTGGGGTTTGCGTGGCTGCTGCAAGCTCCGACGCAGAGGCCTGGGGACTTCCGCCTCAGACGCCTCCTTGCAAGACCCGAAAACCCATGCTCTGCGCGAAAGGAGCAGGATAAGAACAGTTGAATGAGCATGCCGATGATGACGAGGGCGACGTGATCATGATTGCAATGATGACCACGGCGGCGGCAATAGTGAGGATGAGTATGTGGATGAGGATGGCCCTAATGATGGTACCTCTGGTTGTTGTGATTTGGGGCACTTCTCCTCATTAGCACATAAGAGTATTTTTCGTAGCTAGTCCGGATAAACTTCATAGAACAGCCCTCTACACAGACCCGAAGGTGCATCTAAGGTTGTCCACAGTGTAGGGACTGGGGTGTGAGAGTCTTCTGTGCATGCCCAGGCTCGCTGAGTCATCCGGTGCGGTAAAACCATCACCTCAAACACACCGACTTCCACACTTGAACAACCTTCGGAAACCCTAAACCCTACACCCTCAACCCTAAACCCTGAACCCCAAACCCTCAACCCTGCCCCTGAACCTTTTACGCCGCTTCAGGGCTTCACTGTTCACTTGCAAGCTTTCGATTCGGAGCTTCAGAGCTTGAGCTGTAGCCTTTCGGATATAAAGCCTCCAAATGTAATGGCTTCCGCTTTAGGGTGTAGGGTTTAGGGTTCAGGTTCAGGGTTTAGGGTTTAGGGTTTAGGGGATTCAGGGCCACTCCCCCTAGAAGCTAGGCACAGATTGTTCTTTGGAGATCCCGATAATAGAAAGCATAAACCCAAGAAAGCAAACAAGTATTTAAAACATCCAAGGGCTTTCAAGCAAAAGGACAAGAGGTGGGCCCGGGAAAATCACCTGCACGAAGAAAATGTCTCAAGAACCGCAACCTGCGACAAATATAAAGCACTGTTTGCTCCGCCGCCGCAATCATCTAATCCTAAAAACCTAAACCCAAACCCTAAAACCTAAACCCTAAACCTTAAACCCTAAACCCTAAACCTTACACCCTAAACCTTAACCTGTTCATTGCAGCTCTCTACTTAGGTCGGTGTCAAGGCGCCGGGAAGGCCGCGGCTCGGCACTCCTAAACCTGACGGACCCAAAGCGGCAAAATACCGCCGTAGATCAGATAAGCACTACGGATGTTATGTGTAGATATAAACATATTATATATCTATATATATATATATATCTTATGTACATATATATATATGTATACAAATACTATAAGAGTGATATCAATGATAGTAATGATGACAACATGTAAGCACTACGGGTCGAACACCTACGCGGTCCCAAGTACCGGAAGCCGGAAACTCGTTGTGCTCCCGTTATGCATCTGTTGACGGGCCGAAGAATGGTCTAGGGTTCAGGATATATACATATGTATGTAAATATCTATAGTATATTCGTGTAATATATACTATATACAGAGATATATATATATATATCTATATATATACACACACACATATACACATGTACCTATATACTTTCATAAAGATCTCTCTCTATATATATACCTTTCTGTGTCTGTAAAAAGGGGAGTGCTTCAAAGGTGTGGAGCCGAGCTCCCGAAACACGAAGTCACGACGAGTCACCATGTTGAAGGCGTCCTCCATGAGTTTCTGCACCTCAGGAAAGGCAAACTCTTTTTGTGGACACTTAGGGCTTAGGGTTTAGGCTTGAGGCTTTAGGCTTTAGGGTTTGCAGCCCAAAATGGCTTGAAGCTGCTACCAGCTACCATGTCATGGCTGTGGACGAGCACTTGCAGGCGATTCAAAAGCACCCCACCATGGTTTGAGAGTTGGATGCATGGACAGGACAAGTTCGCGAAGCTTCACGCTCCACGGTTGAGTTTTGCTTCGCATTTCATGCTCCGAAGCTTGAATCACTTTGGTTCTCCGGGCCGAACCACAATTTGGGATTTATCGAGTTTAGGGGTTTCGGGGTAATTAGTGATGCCAAGCTGGGCTCGGCTGGGTGAATGTTGAAGTCGCGATCTTCCTCGGACTGCTATCCTTCGCGGTACAAAACGTGCAAGCAGCTGAAGTGGCGACTCTCCATGATTCTGCATCATTCGAAAGAGGTCCTTGCTCTTTGAATGACTACGAACTGTACTTGAGGAAGTGTGCCATCCCTTTGTGCGGTTCTGTTGTACTCAAGATAGTCGTCATCCAATATGAGATTTTGTGACGCTGAGCCACGGACCGAGGGGCCGAGAGTCATCTCTTAAATTGCATGAAATCACTGCAAATCCCTGCTGCCCTACTCGTCCAGTATGACGGGGAACTAAAGGTTAACCTTTACGATTATCTAGGGATTATAGGACCCCAAAAACGTTTTAAGGTCACGTTTTAAGGTCACCTACTCCACTACTTAGCATCTCCTATGACAGAAAAGCAAGGAGCCGGGCGACTGAAAGGCATCCACACCCCCAGTCCCGCGAACTCCAAAGTGGAAGCCGCCATGCACGCCGCGCCACTTGCAACCGGAGCCCTTTAGGTAGCGGAGGGAACGGAATTCAAATCGGGGATGTGGGGCAGATCATACAACTATACAGCTACATAGTACTATAGACAGGGACATTTAGTACTGAGCATTGCGACTAATAATTGGAATAGGGTTTTGGGGTATAATAATTATAGCATAGTTATAATAAGGAACCCCCGAAAAAGTATTGGTAACTATTGCGGCCCCTATAATACTTGATCCCACCGGGCTCCTCTTTTGAGAAGAACTTGCCAGCCCAGGTGCCGTGGCGTCAACAGCAGTCCACCTCCGAGGAATTGGCTGTGAAGAAGCACTTTTCATAATGATAGTGGCAACGACGTAACACTAAGTGCAAGAGACAATAATCATGAAACTTAGGGATCATAACAATGATAGTGGTAAGGACATAACACTAAGTGTAAAGACAGTATATAACCATGAAACTATAGGGACAGTCTTAGAAACGCGGATGGCTAGAACAATAGCAACTAATAAGCAAAACTTAGGCTGTTCGCCTTTCGCGGGCAAGAGCGCCCGACCCTGTTCCTCGCATGGATGCACTTGACCCATGTCAGGAAACGCCAAATGCAGGATATGATGCCTGTAAAGCCTAGAACCTGCTAAAACAGATTTCGGCCATGAGCCTGGCAGCTCTAACACCAGCGGTCAGCACGCTTCAGGGTGTGGAGCCGGCTAGTGCTGGATTCTGAGCGGGTTTCAGGGTTTAGGGTTTAGGGTTTAGGTTGAGGGTTCAGGGATCGGACTTTGCAGATGCTTGACCTGTCTTGTACTACCCCAGACCCAACGTAAGCCGTTCAGCTGTTGGGGCAAGGGGGGGGCAGCTTGACCCTTGGTTGTGTTTTCTCGATGTTGCTTCGGAGAACCGAAATATGAAGTTATTCAGACTCCATCTGGGGCTCGTGTCCAGATGCAAGATGACCAAGGTTGCAGGACCGCCTCTCTTGTCTTTCCGGAGCTTGCGCATGCGTGACAGATTTCTCTTGGGGCCTTGACCCGAAAACCTGAACCCCAAACCCACAAAAAAACCCTAAACCCTAAACATTGAAACCCTGTTGCTTCGAAGTTTTAAGCCTTCAACCCCAAGCTTCCGAAGTTGAACCCTAAGCCCTAAAAACCCCCGAAGCCTACAAGACCCTAAACCCTTAGGCTGTAAACCCTAAACCCTAAACCGTGACCCTAAACTCCTAAACCCTAAACACCTCAAGCCAAAAACCACATCCTCTAAGCCCCGGAAGGCCCTGCGCGCCCCACGTAAGCCCTGAGCCCCGAAGCCGCGAATTTCAGAAAACAAGGGACCATCATAGCGCATCCAAAAAAGAATAAGGTTTCGGGTTTAGGGTTTAGGGTTTAGGGTTTAGGGGTGTAGGGTTTAGGGCTTTGGGTTTTCGGTTTAGGGGCTTAGGGTAAGAATAACACAGCAGAGTCATAATGGCAATTTAACAGTCGGATGCTTAGTATCCGGATCCATCCACAGGGTCCCCTTAAACTGTACCCTAAACCCCAAAAAACCCTCAGCCTGCCTCCCTAAACCCCCAAGCCCCTAAACCCCTAAACCCCTAAACCCCTAAACACACTAAACACACTAAACCCCTAAGCCCCTAAACCCCTGAACCCCTAAACCCCCCAAAACCCCCAAACCCCTAAACACACTAAACACACTAAACACACTAAACCCCTAAACCCCTAAACCCCCATAAACCCCTAAACCCCAAACCCTAAACCCGAAGCCCCTAAACCCCAAGACCTCAAACCCTAAACCCCAAAACTCTAAACCCCAAGCTCTCTTTACATCTCAAACCCTTTAAATCTCAAACCCCTG